CTCTCTCTGCTCAGGTTTGGCTGTTGACTACTTTGACGGAGGGAAGGATCAGGTAAGTACCCATTCCTCCGCAGAGAGGTTAAGGAATGTAACCAGAGGGAAGGAGAAAGGCTGTTGCTACCAAAAGACTGCACCCAGATGCCAGGAGCAGAGCCTCTCACCCCTGCCCAGCCTGTGTGAGTTCTGTTCAGAGAGCACTGAGCAAGGATCAACAAATCTAATTTCCCCGGATCCTGCTCGTGCACAAAGTCCAGAGATCAGTGCTAGCCTGGCATTTGGAAAAGCAGCAGTCACCTGTTGCTGAGTTACCCCTCATTTCCATGTGAAGCGGCTCCTCTTCCCCATACCATGCCCTCAAAGAGACGGCTATCTGAAGAAGCCCGGTTTTGTGGGTACAAGGGTAGGGAACACACAGACTGGCTCTTGAAGGGAGATGCAAGGCTATCCTAAACCATTTCTCTTCTTGGCATAGAATTCCTTGTCCTCTGAGCAACAGAAATATGCCATACGGGGTGTCCCTTCCCTGCTGGAAGTTGCTGGTTTCTCCTACTTCTATGGGGCCTTCTTGGTAGGACCCCAGTTCTCAATGAACCACTACATGAAGCTGGTGCAGGGACAGCTGACTGACACACCAGGGAAGATACCAAACAGGTAAATCGCCCTCTTGGTCCAGACCTCTGTATAGGTGTCTCACCTTATACAAAGCCACTTCTAGACGACTTCCAGAAGGCCAGCCCTGCCCAAGTTCTCCAGCGTGGCCCTGGCTGAGTTCTCCAGTGTGGCCCTGGCTCACAGGCCTGGGCCACGGCAGGCACAGGACTGTTGTAATGGGCCATCTATCCCTGCTCATTGTGGCCAGCAGGTCCTTTTCAGCTGAGGCTACTTCCAGCCATCCATTCTGACCCTCTAATATAGACATAAAAATTCACTTTTATGCCACAGGATTTTGCCTGAACAGCCACATCCCTGCCTTTAAAACCCATTTTCTCTGTTTTTTGGGGGGTGGGGATGTTAAATATATGAAAATATGTATATATGTATATACATATATACACACACACATACATACATGTATCAGAGTAGAAAATTGAAGTTACCAGAAAAACCCCTTTCCTGAGAAGTTGCCTGGCCTGTGGCTGAGCCTTGATTCGGCCAGGGTAGGAAGGAGCAGATTGAGAATCGGGCATTCTCCTGTCCTCCACCTTGGCCCTTCAGGCCCAATGTGGCCAGAGAAGGCCGGCAAGGCCATGCGGTCCCACAGGCTCGCACACACTGGTCCCTTGTCACGCTGCCCTACCCCGGGACTGGCGGGCTCCTGCATTAACCACTCCTCGAAGCCAGCCACGTCGAGCTGCCTCTCCCTGACACCGACTGTTGGCTTGGCACTGAGAGCGCCTTGTCCCACACACTCTGAACACACTCCTCTGCGTAATTAAGGTCAGAGGGTGAAGGGATGAGGCTCTGCCCGCTGTGACCCTGCTTGTTCCTTTCCAGCACCATACCTGCTCTCAGGCGCCTGAGTCTGGGCCTTGTCTACCTAGTGGGCTACACTGTGCTTAGCCCCCACATCACAGAAGACTATCTCCTCACTGAAGACTATGAAGTGAGTGGTGACTGGTGCAGCAGCCGCGTGGCCGCGTCCGAGTTAGAAATGAACAGGCAAGGATCCCTGTAGCTAGGCGAGAAGTGGGTAACACCATCGACAAATGCATGTTGGTTTTGCTCTTAGATCTGGGAGAGTTGATGTGTCCATGCCAGCCGGGCCGGGACATGTTCATCAGCCAGCACTGAACGACCTTCGCGGGCACAGGGCTGTGCCAGGTGCACGTTGAGCGGCCCCTCCCCTCCCTCAGGAGCAGCTCGTAGCTTGACATATTGCAGCCAGGGACTCCTTGGAGCCTAGTAGCTTCCGGTCCTCTCCAGCCTGTTTTCTTCTCTTGATAGATTGGGGGCTTCTAGGGAATTCAAAAACCGAGGGAGGGGGAAGTGCTGGCTTTTGCTCCTGCCCAGCTGAAAGGCTTGCAGCAGCTCCCTACGCATTCTGGGTAGGTTTGTCTCTTAAATTAACATTGACCGTGGATATCTAAAAAGTCCCTTAGTACTTGGTGTCCCAAATGCTCGGTGCTTTAGAAAGTTAGGGAAGAGGCTGTTTCTGGGACTCTCCAAAGAGAAAGGCGAATGGATGTCCGCTGGGTTCCCAACGTCTTCCTCTTACCTAGCCTGTGCGAAGGGCCACCCAACAGACTGCCAGGTGGATGCATGGCGGTTAGCCACGCGCGTGGAGAGGAGGAACGTTGAGGGAAGTTTGCCTTACCCGGGGAGCATCCCTAACGCGTGGCCGTTCTTCCTTCTCTCAAGAACCACCCTTTCTGGTTCCGCTGCATGTACATGCTGCTCTGGGGCAAGTTTGTGCTGAACAAATACGTCACCTGTTGGCTGGTCACGGTAAGTCACAAAATGAAAGCGGGTTCTCGTTCAACAAGCCGGGGGACGGGGGGCGTTGTGGCAAGGAGCGTAGCAGGAAGGCTCATGGAATTGCTCCTTCCCTCAGGAAGGAGTGTGCATTCTGACAGGGCTGGGCTTCAATGGCTTTGACGAACGTGGGAAGGCACAGTGGGATGCCTGTGCCAACATGAAGGTGTGGCTCTTTGAAACAACTCCCCGCTTCACTGGCACCATCGCCTCGTTCAACATCAACACCAATGCCTGGGTGGCCCGGTAAGCCACTGACAGGGAGGTCTGGGCCCTAGCTCCTCCTCCCTCTGCTTTCCCAGATTTGAAGGTACAAATGTACTGTCCGTCTTTTCCCACTCTGGGTAGAGAACCTGCAGTCATCCTCACACCCACACACTCATACATAGTTTTGTCCCTGCTCCCATCCCCCCAGAACCCATTCCTGTCATATCTGTAGGACACAAGCAAGACCCAGACCTGCCTTGAGTTTTCTGTTTGTTTTTTAGAGAGGAAGAGAGAGAGGGTGGGGTAGGACAGAAAGAGAAGGAGAATCTTACACAGGCTCACTCCCAGAGCAGAGCCCAACACGGGGCTCGATCTCACGGCCTCAGATCATGATCTGAGCCAAGATCAGGAGTCAGATGCTCCTGATCCACCCAGGCGCCCTAAGAAGTGCCTCGAGTTTTAATCCCACTTCTGCTACCCACTGGTTTTATGTTCCCCGTTGGCGTTGTTAACTTGTCCCCAGTGCACCAGTGGGAGCCGCGCTGGAACTGGTCTGTCCTGCGCACCCCTGTGCCCGAGGTGTAAGTGTGCAGCAAGCACCTGGGCACCTGATGGTGTGGCTTGTCCCGGCTCACCCGGCTAAGCTTGAGGCCTGTTTTCTGTCACCGAACTGAGCTGGAACTTCTCCTTTCATCTCTAAAGCTAATAAAGGATGGCACTGCCTCCCTTACCGGGGTGGCCCCGAGCAGGAGCCAGCCACCACCACTGCACACCTCAGGGTGCTAGGAAGCCAGAGGCAAGATGGCGGCAGTGCATAGACTGGTCTGAGGCTCATCCCCACCCACCCTTCTCTCTAGTTACTTCTTCAGACGACTCAAGTTCCTTGGAAATAAAGAACTATCCCAGGGATTCTCATTGCTCTTCTTGGCCCTCTGGCATGGACTACACTCAGGATACCTGGTCTGCTTCCAGATGGAATTCCTCATTGTTATTGTGGAGAGACAGGTAGGCCTGAAGGGTGGTGTATGAACGGGGACTATGAGAAGGGGCCAAACACTGATGACCTCTCTGCTCACTCCCCAGGCTGCCAGCCTCATTCAGGAGAGCCCAGCCCTGAACAGGCTGGCTTCCATTACTGTCCTCCAACCCTTCTACTACTTGGTGCAGCAGACCATCCACTGGCTCTTCATGGGTTACTCAATGACCGCCTTCTGTCTCTTCACATGGGACAAATGGCTGAAGGTAAGTGAGGGCCTTCTGGCAAGGACAGGGGAGGAGGTGTCACTGAGAGCTCAGGCAGTAAGGGATAGTCCCTGCCCTGTGTCTACCTCAGTGGCCTTTATCTTCCCCAGGTGTACAAATCCGTGTATTTTCTCGGCCACGTCTTCTTCTTGAGCCTACTCTTCATATTGCCTTATGTTCACAAAGCAATGGTGCCAAGGAAAGAAAAGTTAAAGAAAATGGGATAATCTGTTTCCCCGGTGAGTAAATACCGCAATAGCAAAGCTAAACTACCAAGTGACAGGACAGAGCACTAGATTGGGGCTAATAGGCGGGGAGTGTGGGAATCTGGAGTAAATTCCAAGGCAGCCTGGCTTCTCAGAAACCCAACGTGGGGCATAGACTCCTCGAACTTGGGCTTGCCAGGAAGAAGCTGGAAGGATTGTAGACCAGGCACTAGAAGGAGGGCCTCTGACCAACCTGCCCATCAAGTCTCTTCTCTTGCAGGTGGCCTAGAGCGGGGCTGGTGCAGAGATGTTCCCTTTCCACAGCACTCCTGCGCCTCAGAGCACAGAACAGAGAAGCCAGGGGGTGGGAAGACATGGTACTGCGGCCAGCCACGCCTCCACCTAGGGCCAGAGGGGAAGCTCTCGTGGGAGGAGCAGAGGGCCCGTGTCTCCCCTCGGGGCTCCCCCATGCACGTTGCCTTATCTCTCCCCCTCTAGCCAGGATCTGTTGTGTTTTTCTTCTGCCAATTTACTCTGATTGTATATGTGCCGTTACCACCAACCCCCCCCATGGGGGGGAGGAGAGGGTACCAGGCCCCACCTGCTCCACTTTTTTCTACCTTGGAACTGTACCAGATAAAATAAATCACTTCTCTTTGTTCAGTTTTTCACTGCGAGCCCTGCTGACTGCTTTCTTACTGACAGTTCTCTGCACCCACCCTCTTGCTGAAGTAAGCAGGGCTGGCTCCTGGCCCTGTCTGGGACCCGGATACAAACACTGTAACCTCACCTCTTTTCCTGAAGGCTGAGGAGAGTCGCCAGTTCACACCATTAGCTAATGCTCACTTTAGAAACCCTCAAAGAACAGCCAGGTCTGCAAGAACAGTATTTATAGGGTAAACAAATAGCAAATGTACAGCCTCGCTTCCCCAAGCCCCCACAGTCTCGGTGCAAGAAGTTCCCCTCCAAGCAGTGAGCTGAAAGCGGGGTGGAGGGACGGCCACAGTCTTTGTCCCAGAACAAAGCGCTACTGTCAGATGACCCCCCAGACTTCTTCAAAGGCTGTGGTGAGTTTTGCACAGGTGAGGGCTGCAGAAAGGGGGTAGTTGCTGATGGACACCATCTTCTCTGTGTACTCCACATTGACCTAAAAGAGAGAAAGATTTCTGTGTGCTGGCTGTCGCTCTTAACAGGGGAAGCCCTTCTTTGGGGCAGGAAAAACACAGTTGAGCTAGTATTTTGCAGAGCTATTTAATACCAAATTTGTACAAAGGATAAAGAAGGTCCTGACTTGTCACTGTCAAAAATATGCAAGTGGCCCTCAAAAGATACAGCCTGGGACAGGACAAGGAGGCCCCACTGGTCTCCCAGCTTTGTTCTCACCCTGTATTTCCCAAGGTCATCAAAAAATGCCAGCTGTTCTTAGAATTCTATACGAAGCCTCAGCTCGATAAGGAACCCAAGAGTTGAGCCCGACCTTACCTGGCCATGGGCAAAGGCCCCCACCACAAAAACAACAGGGTCACTGCTGGGTACCAACTCTCGTACATCACTGACAACCGGGATGGAGAAAGAAGTGCCAATCTTCATACATCCAACTGGAAAGTGATCTGATACTGGATTCTTAATTACCTAAAGAAAGAAGGGGGGAGGGGGAATCAGCCCCAGAAACCAGTCTCAGAACCCCAACCAGTGGGGACCAATACCTCACCTTCAAGAGCTTCTGGGGCCCATCAGCTGCTCGAACACTGAGTTTGTGTAAAAGCTGAACTGGGAGAGGGGAAAGAGAGTTCAGAGCTAGGTGGTAACCCCATTTCTTCTGCCCAGAAATCTAACCAGAAAAACCCATAGTTAAAGTGGGTTCCCTATGTCCTTCACATCCACACTGCGGTCCTAAAAATGTTCTGAACGAGCAGCTCTGAGCATAGGACTAGCTGGATGAGTGAGTTCCAGCTCCCTTCTTCACTCAGCCAGGAACCCATGCACACCTGGGAAGGTAATGAAGAGCCCCTCCCTGTTCTGGTGTCAGACGTGTTCCCCACTCCCCACCCCACGCTTAAAAAGTTCACATTTCATTTCTCCCATGTCCCCTTCCTCCCTTCTTCACTAGCGCAGGGTTCATTCCGAACATTAAGTCCTAAAGCTCTCACCCATGAGGCCACAAAAGCGGTCAAAGGTTCTGGGAATGCGAGTCTGGGGGTTCACTTCAATCAGCACATTCTTCTGTGTGTGGATGTAAACCTGTAGCAAGCCAGCTCGGTTCAGGGGACTGTCCATCAGCATCAGTAAACTCTGAGGGAGGCAGAAACGGAGGCTTAGTTCAGACTGAAGAGAAGCAGCAGCTGCTGGATCTTCTGCCCAGAGGCTCGGGGTTGCCAGCTCTGTCCCTGGAGTTACCTGGTGAGCTATGTCTGGTCTCACTTCCCCAGGGTCCCGTCCGTTCTTCAACAACACAGACTTGTGCTTGTCACAGTTGAGTAGCTCATAGGTCTTCCCTACCTAAAGAACAGGGACCATGACAAAAAGTAACATAACCTTCTTTTACCTAGACTAGTGGTTCTCCAAGTGTGGTCCCCAAATCAGCATCCTCATAATCACCATCTAGGAACTTGTTAGACAGTCAAATTCTCAGCTCTGCTCCAGATCTCCTGAATCAGAAACTCTGGAGATGGAACCCATCAAGCCCTTCAGAGGGTTACTATGTGGCCACTGACCCTTTCTCCCCTCCCACCATAACTGTTCTTAGAGGGAAAAGGAAAGAAGGACACAGCCTGTGGTTTGACATGCTCTAAACTTCTGCACAACAAAGGAAACCAACAAAACAAGGCAACCTTGGGAATGGGAGGAGGTATTTGCAAATGACATATCTGATAAGGGGTTAATATCCAAAATCTATAAAGAGCTTGCCTAACTCAGCACCAAAAAACAAGCAATCCGATTCAAAAATAAGCAGAGAACCTGAACAGACATTCTTCCAAAGACCTATAGATGGCCCATAGACACATGAAAAGATGATCAACATCACTCTTCAGGGAAAGGCAAATCAAAACCACAATGAGATACATCACCAGCCAGAATGGCTAGTATCAAAGACGAGAACTCAGTGTTGGTGAGGATGTGGAGAAAAGGGAGCCCTGGTGCACTATTGGTGGGAATGTAAATTGGTGCAACCACTGTGGAAAACAGTATGGAATTTCTCAAAAAATTAAAAATACAAGTATCATACAATCCTGTAGTTCCACTGCCGTGGTTACCCAAAGAAAATGAAAATAGTAATTTGAAAAGATCTACGCAGCCCTGTATGTTTATTTCAGTGTTCTATTTATAACAGCCAAGATTAGGAAGTAACCCAAGTGTCCCTTGATAGATAAATGGATAAAGATGTATACTGAGGGGCACCTGGGTGGCTCAGTCAAGCGTCCAACTCTTCATTTTGGCCCAGGTCATGATTCCCTCTTCCTCTGCCCCTCCCCTCTCACCAGGTACCTGTGCACTCTTTCAAAAAAGAAAAAAGTGTATTGAAGAACAGTGGTTTTATATGAAACTGCTTTGTAAACCACAAGTTCCTCAAGTATCAAGCACAAAGCCAGAAATAATCCTGGAATAATAGGGGCATGAGTGAGGGTGGGATGTTATCCTGGGAACACTTGTGTACACTAGAAAAGTCAGCAGTGGGGCGCCTGGGTGGCTCAGTGGGTTGAGCCTCCGCCTTCGGCTCAGGTCATGGTCTCGGGGTCCTGGAATCAAGCCCCACATCATGCTCTCTGCTCAGCAGGGAGCCTGCTTCCTTCTCTCTCTCTCTCTCTCTCTCTCTCTCTCTCTGCCTGCCTCTCTGCCTACTTGTGATCTCTCTCTCTCTGTCAAATAAATAAATAAAATCTTTTAAAAAAAATTAAAATAAAAAATTTTAAAAAAAAAGTCAGCAGCTAGAAATGCAAAACTCAAGATCCGGTCTGATCTATAGCAGCTAAAAGAAATAATTGCAAATTGCAATTTGGAGTCAAGGAGTGTTAAAACGGTTGATTAAAAAGTCTTAAAAACATACCATTAAATAGAAATACCAGATTTGAAAGGCTATATTTTCTGTGCACCAACAGAACATTGGTATATGTCTGGCAACAACTTCAGATATGTAACTAACTAACTGAAATGACAAAAACGTCAGAGTAAGCACACCTCCATGGGACAATCTTAGTTATCAGAGAAAAAGAACCTCTTGAATAGAATAACCCAGTTTCTACCCAGTAGTTATAACTGGGGGTTTTGTTCTTTTGATGAAATAGAGATCAAAACGGTACATGTAGTAATGGTAGGCAATGGTTTATGAAACTTCTGGTATCTTACAGTTGCCTGTGTGTACCCGCTCACAATACAATTTTTTAAATTGTGGTTTGTGGTTAATAAGCTTGAAAACCACTAACTAGAGTAATCAGAGAATGAACATATGTGTATTCATTTCCTATAACAGGTACTGGAGATACAAGAATTTTTTTTAAAGATTTTACTTATTTATTTGACAGAGATCATAAGTAGGCAGAGAGGGGGGAAGAGGGAGAGCGGGAAGCAGGCTCCCTCCTGAGCAGAGAGCCGGACATGGAGCTCGATCCCAGGACCCTGAGATCATGACCTGAGCCGAAGGCAGAGGCTTAACCCACTAAGCCATTCAGGCGCCCCGAGATACAAGAATTTTTAAAACCTTATTCCCTGCCCTCATGGATCCTTCTAGTAGAAGGGACTTGAAACCACAACCAAATTTTGATGAACATTATAAAAGAAAAGTGAACCACTGGGTTCATTAAAGGATTAAAACAGGAAGGCCTGGGGTGCCTGGGTGGCTCAGTGGGTAAAGCCTCTGCCTTCGGCTCAGGTCATGATCTCAAGGTCCTGGGATCGAGCCCCGCATCGGGCTCTCTGCTCAGCAGGAAGCCTGCTTCCCTCTCACTCTGCCTGCTCTGCCTACTTGTGATCTCTCTCTCTCTGTGTGTCTCTCGCTGTGTCAAATTAATTAATTAACTAATTAATTAATTAAATCTTTTTAAAAATATAAAATGAAGAAATAAAACAGGAAGGCCTGATTTACCCCAGGAAGGGAGTCACTTCTATGAGGAAATAATATTGAAACTAGTAACTAAAGAATGAACAGCAATAACAGACTCAATAATTGTTAAATGAATGAACATTAAGTAAGAATTAATGAAGCAAAGAACTGAGTAAAGGGGGCTTCCGTTAAGAGAACATTATGTATAATGGCCTTAAGATATCAGAGAACTTCTTGCTTCCACAGAGTTTAACAAAGGCCAGTGAGTCTCGAGTATAAGGAACAAATGGGAGAGAAGAGGCCCAGTTAGGCTAGTACAACAAGGTAGCAGCACAAGGGAAGGAAAAGATAACAGTACAGATGTCAGCTAGCTGTGAATTCAGTCACCCCCGGAGTACCATTAATGACAATTTGACCAAATTCTTCCAGCATGCTCTAAGAATTTTAATTTGGCTATGACCTTTTCAACTTCTTTTTTTTTTTTTAATTGACTGTATAAGTGAGGCATGGGAGGGGTTGGGACACAGGGAGAGGGAGAGAGAGAATCTTAAGCAGGCTCCATGCTCAGTGTGGAGCGAGATGCATTTTACGACCCTGAGATCATGACCTAAGCAAAAATCAAAGAGTCAGATGCTTACCAACTTGATAAAGAACCTAGAATCAATAACAATAGTAGTAATTCCAAGTGAGAGACATTATTCTAAACTCTTTACTGATACTATCTCCTTTCATCCCCTCAACAACCCAGTAAGGTAGGTACTATCATCCCCATTGAACATATGAAGAAACAAGAGCCCCTTGTGTTTACATGACATCCAGAATTAATGGGCTGGAAATACAGCAAGCAATTAAGTGAGGGATGAATATCAGATCCTATAATTAGAAACATCATTACCTAAAAAAAATGGGGGAAAAAAAGGGCAGGCTTTCTAGACTGCAAGCTTAGTATAGTAAAAGTGGTTGAAGTAAAGATGGAAAAGAATCACAGCATACATTACTATCAAAATAATACTTCCAGGGGCACCTGGGTGGCTCAGTGGGTTAAAAGCCTCTGCCTTCGGTTCAAGTCATGGTCTCAGGCTCCTAGGATCAAGCCCCACATCAGGCTCTCTGCTCGGCAGGGAGCCTGCTTCCTCCTCTCTCTGTCTGCCTGCCTCTCCACCTACTTGTGATCTCTGTCTGTCAAATAAATAAATTAAATCTTTAAAAAAAAAAAAGGGGGGGGGAAAGGCCAATAAAAATAAACTTAAAAATAATAATACTTCCAAAGCACTCTCAAAGTATTAACCCCCACTTTATAAACTGAGGACAAACTTGTTTTCCAAATCAAGATCACACGCTTAAGTATAAAAACCAAGATTAAGGGGTGCCTGGGTGGCTCAGTGGGTTAAAGCCTCTGCCTTTGGCTCCAGTCATGATCCCGGGGTCCTGGGATCCAGCCCCATATTGGGCTCTCTGTTCAGCGGGGAGCTTGCTTCCCTTCCTCTCTCTGCCTGCCTCTCTGCCTGCTTGTGATCTCTGTCTGTCAAATAAATGAATAAAATCTTAAAAAGAAAACAAACAAACAAACAAACAAGATTAAAACCAAAGTATGACTTATAAACCAGGGCTATTTTTTCTAGGTTTACTCACTGGACAAGTTTAGATCTAAAGGGTAAGAGAAATCAAGAGACTGAGAACACTGCACTTTTAAGATAGGGAATTGCTGATTTATTCAGGAAAACGGCCGCATGACAGTTAAAAACAAAAAAAGCTTAAAAGATAATATGACCCAGTGTTTCCAAGTGGATAGTAAATCTAAAGGAGGGTGACAACAAACACATGTAAACGAAATAAAACACAAAGTCCTGACAAGCAAAAGCGTTGGGCGAACTGAGCCGCAGCAACTACCTTTCTCCTTTGTTTAAGAACTTGTCTTAAGGTATGAGACGACCCGATGGACAAACCTCCTCTCCCCTCCCCTTAGATGACGTTATCACAGAATCCTAGTAAATCAATTAGCAGCCAGAACGGGACAGCTGCGGTGGGATTCAAGAAGGATGGAATTAGAGTGATGCCAAGCCAGGATCTTAAACCAAGAGACAGTAAACTACGCCACTCTTTCTCCAAGACGAGGTTTCACTCTGCCTCCCCATCCACTTTGACGCTCAACCCTCGGGGTCCCATCCTATCGATCTATTTCTCCACTTCCTTGTCCCAAATTACCTTGACCGTCTCCAGACTGGCCCCTTCCAGCACCACAATAAGCCTTCGTCCTCCGATCTTGTTTCCCGCCCCGAGTCGGGGCCGCTTGGGAGTCACAGCATCCCAGCCCTCTTCCTGCTCCCCACCGCGCCGTTCACGAGGTTGGAATCTGCCATTGGGCGCAGCCATCTTGCCACCGGACCGGAAATTGCGCTAAGGTCCTTAAATTAAACCTCGGGCTGGTCCTAATCTTAAACTTCCTTCCTGCTGCCATTTTGAAAGTGGGCACTTGAAATGGCAACAGCTAGCAGCCTCGCGCTACTGAAGCTCTTCTGGAAGGGCAGAGTTCCAGAAGGGGGCGGGAACTTCCGAATACGTAATTCCTGTACGCGAAGTTCGGGTCCGCTGTGGGCGATGGGGCGGGTTTAGACGCGAGCGCACTTCCGGTGCCCTTTTTCCCCCGAGCACCTCGCGCCCCGGACCCTCGTGTGAAGGGTGTGATCTCTGAACTGGAGTGGGGTCGAGGTGGGCCGGCACGGGCTTCTGACCTGTGGTGTAGCTGGCCTCAGGATCGGACATGGCCCAGAACTTGAAGGACTTAGCGGGACGGCTGCCCTCCGGGCCCCGGGGCATGGGCACGGCGCTGAAGCTGCTGCTGGGGGCCGGCGCTGTGGCCTACGGCGTCCGCGAATCCGTGTTCACCGGTGAGCAACCTCTGCCAGCTCTCCGGATTCTTCTCATCCCCCCCAGATTCCCTGTCCGGTCCCGCCGGGGCCCCGCGCACACCCACTCCCTTTCCCCGCCCCACTAGAGGCTAGTACATATTCTCAGCAGCGTTTTAGCCTGATCCCAACCCCTCTCCTCACAGTGGAAGGCGGACACAGAGCCATATTCTTTAATCGGATCGGTGGCGTGCAGCAGGATACCATACTGGCCGAGGGCCTTCACTTCAGGTAATGGCGGGCCCAGCGGACTGACCCTGACCCTTCACCCTTGAAAGCCAACCCACCAGTGGCTGCAGTAGGACTTCAGAGAACTCCGCGCTGCCTTTTATTTCTCCTGGACATTGGGAGCTCCCCCAAACTCCTCTTCTCCAGAGGGGGAAAAGAATTTCTCCTTGTCTGTGGTTATTAAGAGGTGGAACAGGCCAAGAAACACGTGGGGAGGAAATACCAGGCAAAACTAATGGAACTGCAGGCTCCTAATACCTGTTCCTGTTCCCTCCCCTGTAGGATTCCCTGGTTCCAGTACCCCATCATCTATGACATTCGGGCCAGACCCCGAAAAATTTCCTCACCTACAGGCTCCAAAGGTAGGTCTGGTCATTTGGTAGTCCTTAGCAGATATCTACATAAAGTAAGCAAGGGAGCCTGGCAGGAGATCCAGGGGCAAGAGGATAGTGTCACATCTCTTGGGCCTTAGTTTCCAAATCTGTAAAAAAGAATTGTAATAAAAGTACCTGCTTCTGGTTAAAGCAATACTTTTTTTTTTTTTTTTTTAAGATTTTATTTATTTATGGGGCGCCTGGGTGGCTCAGTGGGTTAAAGTCTCTGCCTTCAGCTCAGGTCATGATCCCAGGGTCCTGGGATCGAGACCCACATCGGGCTCTCTGCTGAGCGGAGAGCCCGATTCCTCCTCTCTCTCTGCCTGCCTCTCTGCCTACTTGTGATCTCTGTCTGTCAAATAAATTAATAAAATATTTTTTAAAATATTTAAAATATTTAAATATTTTTATATACATATTTATAAATATATAAAATATTTAGATATTTAAAATATTTTTTAAAATATTTTATTAATTTATTTGACAGAGCACAAGTAGGCAGAGAGGCAGGCAGAGAGAGAGGAGGAGCAGGGAACCCAATGCAGGGCTCGATCCCAGGACTCTGGGATCGTGACCTGAGTTGAAGGCAGCCACTTAACCAACTGAGCCACCCAGGCACCCCCAGAGCAGTACATTCTTGACGTACAGTGTGTTCACCCATACCTATCAACTGTCGCCCCCGCTAATGTAAGTTCAGTGACAGCACTGTTTGTCCTTTCTTATTCACTGGCTAGATCAAAGCATTAGTGTAAAGCCTTGTCTTCTTTAACTGCTTGATTAATTCTGTCCACTATTGTCCTCTGTCCTGGGCAGACTTGGTCCCACTTTTCACTGGAGCACCTGTTCCCTTCTACACCGTCCATAGAAGCTGTGTCTTTGAGATTCCCCAGACCCTTTTCTCACACACAGGCATGTACACACTAATTCAAGTAGCTCACCTGTGCTGTACTGTTTTGTACTGTTTTTAGTGCAAATGGCTTAACATTCCCTGAATCCTAGGCCCTGGGGATAAAGGATTCATAAAACACAATCCTTATCTTCAAGTCCATATAGTCTCATAAAGAAGGCAGGTGATTACCATGCAGTGTGAGAGAGCCTACAGTAGAGGTTGAACACAGGACAGAAGCAAAATGAGAGGTCGGCTCTACTGGTTGGAGAGCTGGCAAGTCGACAGGACTTTACAGTGGAAGAGGCTACATTTGGCCTGTCACCTTGCACAGCGCTGCACCAGGTATAGAGAGCGGCATATGGAGGAGAAAACGCTTGGAGAAGGGTCTTTGGCTAAAAGGCCAGGTGAGGACCCTGGAGCCGTGGCCAGCTGCTGCTGACCTCTCTCTCAGACCTGCAGATGGTGAACATCTCCTTGCGAGTGCTGTCTCGACCGAATGCCATGGAGCTTCCCAGCATGTATCAGCGCCTAGGGCTAGACTACGAGGAGCGAGTGCTGCCATCCATCGTCAACGAGGTGCTGAAGAGTGTAGTGGCCAAGTTCAATGCGTCACAGTTGATCACCCAGCGGGCCCAGGTCTGAGCTGTCACCGTATACGTGGCTTCCCACCTTCCTTCCTAGGCCTGAAACAGTGCATATTAGGAAGAGCAGCTTGTTAGAAAAGGGTCACAACCCTAGATCCTTTTTCACCTCAGAGCTGCACTGATGGCCACTGTGGGAAACAGGGCGAGTCAGGATGGGTGCTCAAGCAGTAGGAAGCATGGTGTTTTCTCACACTAGCAAAGTCCAGAGGTACATAGGTTGGAGAGAGTGGGAAATGAGTCACTGTGACCTACTGGAAAGATTGGACCAAATCCCTTCCAACTCAGGTGTGCTAGTTGAAGAACCAAGAAAGGATTGTTTTCTGCCATTTTCTGGAGCTCTGATATTCAGACGATCATAGCAGTCGCCCTCCCTTCCAGTTCTCCAGTCTCTTCATTCCACCCCTCCATGACCCCCAGGTATCCTTGTTGATCCGGCGGGAGCTTACAGAGAGGGCTAAGGACTTCAGCCTCATCCTGGATGATGTGGCCATCACGGAGCTGAGCTTCAGCCGAGAGTACACGGCCGCTGTGGAAGCCAAACAAGTGGGTGAGTTACAGGAGGACTTGGGCCAGGGCTTCTGCAGATGCAGGAGGCAGAACGGGGTCTCTGAGACCTCACATCTGTGACCCCCCCCTCCCACCACAGCTCAGCAGGAGGCCCAGCGAGCCCAGTTTTTGGTAGAAAAAGCAAAGCAGGAGCAGCGGCAGAAGATCGTGCAGGCAGAGGGTGAGGCTGAGGCAGCCAGAATGATATCCTGCTGCAGAGAGAGGTCTCTGCCCAGTCCCTGGAGCATGATGCTTCCTCCTTCTCCCTCCTGGGCCGGTTGATGACACTAAGGCGAATGCGACTCCGTGCTGTCTGGTCCTTGGCTCCCTGGGGGTGGAGGTTTGGAATGGGATCTGAAATCTTAGTGGGGTGCCCGAGGCCTGGCTCCCCACTGTAAGGCAGATCCATAGCACTGCCGGCCTTGCCTCCATTTCTGCTGCTGCCTCCAGTTTCTGGCAGCTGCCCAGGGGGGCCCACAGGTGGGGACCAGGTGGGACCAGGCACGAGGTATCTGAGCGCAACCTTGGATCTGACAGCCCGGAGAAGGGCTGCAGTATTAAGACTGGGCCCGGGGGCTGCAACTGGACTTTGTGTGAACCCTTAACCCCAACCCGCTCACCTGGGAGAAGCCCTGAGTAAGAACCCTGGCTATATCAAACTGCGCAAGATCCGAGCAGCCCAGAACATCTCCAAGACGGTGAGTCTGGGAGCCCCGCGTTCCCCGAAAGGTAGCTGTGAGTCTGGAATCGTTTTAAGTGAAAACACGTTGGAGTGAGGGGATTAGAATCTTGCTTGTTGGGGTTTCAACTCAAACCGGCTTCTCCAACACACTTCCTCCATCACCCATGATTCCTGTGGGCTTCCTGGCCTTTTTCTGCCTCTGTTATGGTGCTGGTACATCACAGTCGGCTCGCTGCTCTGGATCTTTGTGAGCAGAAACCAGGCTATCGCTCGTTGCCGTAGCCCTGTTCCTAACCCACGTGTATTCGATCAGTGGTTCTTCAATTGCAAGGTTGGGGTCCAGGTGTGAATACTAGCATCTAGTATTTTATTTAGCATCTAGTATTTTATTTCTGGCCCTACAGATTGCCACATCACAGAACCGTATCTATCTCACTGCGGACAACCTCGTCCTGAACCTCCAGGATGAAAGTTTCACCCGGTAAGACACACGACTGATACAGTGGGGTGTCACAGAGCATGGGACCTGAGTCTGGTTGCTTGAAAGACACCCTTGAACCAAAGTTACAAATGTGGGTGGTTGACAGTCCCTAGCTTGACTCTCCTAAGATTGGGTTTTATGGGATCAAAAGCATTTGAGCTGTGACGTTTGGTCCTGAGAAGTAGTGAAAGACGATACCCCATACTCTTACTCGGAAGCCCTAAAATTGCTGCTTAAGTGCGTGGAAGGATGCTAGAAAGGAGAGGTGGGAAGTGGTGATGGCCAAGGGAACCAGCCTCTTCTCGGAGTGAGATTCCTGGCTCCACCCATTTGTCTTTTTCTCTTGGGAGCAAAGGAGGATTTAGAGCAGGTGGGGCCTGAAACTGTCAAATCACCTGTGCGTTTCTCTTCTCTTTTGTTTCCTGATCGTCTGGTGACCTGGTATCCACAGGGGCAGGTAAGGTGTTGTCACCTCCTTGTTTCTCTGGGTTCTCTCAGCTCCTCTCCCAGCAACTGCCTCTTTCCCCACTGCATCATCACACACGCCCCCTCGGGGAGGAGGGAGTGGCCAGAGGTGCTCAGCCTCTCACATTTATGTTCTCTAATAGTGTTGTCTGTCTGTCCCATTTCCACAGTGACAGCCTCATCAAGGGTAAGAAATGAGCTTGGTAACCAGGAATTCCACTCCCGGAGAAGTGGATCTGTTCCTCCCCTGGTTTTCTAGGAGCCAGCTTGGGGTCCAGCACACCCCCCATCCCACCCCAGTATCACGTGATGGTCCCTCCTGCATCTGTCCTCCCAACCCTTCTTG